AAGAAATGCAGATTATGAAAATATGAGCAAATATTGTCTGTTCACATGTCCTGTATATAGCTCATTTCCCTGGTACCTCATTCCTCTCTTACTTTCGGCCTTATAGACTATGTCAAAGGCCTTCCTCATTTACTCATCAAAAATAAACATTGCCAATTATGGGCACAATCCAGCCCAAGCGAAAGCTTTGCTTAAGTGGAAAAGAGAAAGCCATGTTACCTTTCATCGGATTTTGCTGGAGTTTTCCAGGTGCAGTTCTTTAGCAAGCTACCCAAGCCCTCTGAAAGTGGCATGAGCCGTTGGTTTTTGCCATCTTTAGTATGCTAAGTGTTACATCTCCTTGAAAGCACAGGATTTGCAAATGAATTATTGTGTTTTGTTTTTAATCATTCTAGCAGTTTTGTAAAAAAGGAAAGAAAAAAAACCATTTGCCCCCCACCCTATAGGGCTGGACTAATTTTTAGTGCAGATGTTGTTGTTCAAACTGTTCTCCCTGGCACCTTTCCCCTCTAAGGAAAACCTCAGCAGCATCCCCTCAGTAGTAATAGAACCCGCATCAAACAACGAAGCCGATGGAGAAGATCACGAGGTTCTAGTGAACGAAGCTAAAGATGCTGCGGAAGATGTTGGCGCTCAGAGTGCTGAAGGCCCAGCTGGTGAAACTGCAGAGGCTGCAAGTGAGCCCAAAACCACCCAGTCCACATCTTCTGAGGAACAGCCTGTATCAGCAGATGACAGCATGCCACCGGGCTTCCGCTTTAAGGTTTAATTGAGCGCTTATTTATTCCAGTTTTCTTTGACACTGCAACATGACTCGATTGTGGACCAAGATATGCAGGGGCCATTTGAACCTTCCTTATATGCAAAGGAGATTAAAAAATACAGTTGTATCCAGACCCCTTTGTGGAAGTTTGACTTTCACATTCTACTAATAGGTGAGCAGGCCCGTGCCAAGTAGTTATGTTCCCAAGAGCATGTGGACCAGCTAGCCCTAACCGTTGCACAATCAGGTTTCCCAATCATGTGAAAACCTGTGTCCCTGCTGACATTCAGGGGCTGCAGCTAATTCACATGCAGGGACGCGGACTTATAAAAAATATTGGGGGGGCCCGGGAAAGCTCATGAATAATAAATAAGCTCATGAATATGCAAATAAAGTGGCTCCGGCCCTAAATAGGGCAAGCCACGCCCCCCCAGCCAGCCAATCGGCTGGCTGGGAGGTGTGGCCAGTCGGGATTCCCCTGTTCTCGCGGGGGCCAGGAGGAAGGAAATTCCCCCCGGCAGTGCCTTGGCAGTGGCGGTGGTGCTGCGAAGCAGCGAGGCAGGAGCCCCCGCCCCCGGGGATTCCCTAATCTCGCGGGGGACGGCCGGGGCTCTCCGACTAGGGCGCGCGGCTGGCTGGCTGGCTGGCGAGGGAGCAGGTGGGGAGGAGGCGGGGGACGGCGGCGGCGCTCTGCTGGAAGGGCGCCCGAGATTATTGGGGGGGCTGAGCCCCCCAAAAAAATTTTTTGAGGGGGCTCGAGCCCCCTCAGGCCCCATGGAGTCGGCGCCTATGTTCACATGCAACTTTGGAGGAATGGCTACTTATGCAGACAATGTGCAAAATATTTGAATAGGGCTCAGGGCTTGTGAATATGGCATAGTTCCCATCAAAAAAAGTTCCAACTTGTGACACAGGTTGCAGCCTTTGACTTGCTCAACTTTCATTCACCAAAATAATACAAAGAGTTTCTAGGTCCTTTAGCTGGATATACACTTGTTCATTTGTGGGCAACACCTGATGAAATGTCAAAAACCAGAGGGGTAACTGAAGATAGGCAATAGCTAGGCCTGCAGCTTCAGCACCCTTTGTAACTCCTTGTCTCTCATTATACCTAGCAAAATAAATATAAATAATGGGTATGGCTAGTATATCACATACCCTCTTCCTGTAGTTTTCAGTGGCAGGCCAAATTATGTGTCATAGCTTCCATGCAGTTTGTGATTAAGAGGCTATGATACTGATTTTCCCATGTATAAGGTGGCCCTAATCCTAGCCTTATCCAGGGGGCACTACTAGAAATATCTAACAAACTTTACCACCTGCTTTCAGAAGAAAATATTTTCAGAATATGCCCTAACCTCCTGCATATCTCTCCTTTTTCTGCTCTACAGGTTGAAACCCTGCATGATTTTGAGGCAGCCAATAGTGATGAGCTGAACTTGCTCCGGGGAGATATTGTATTAGTAATTCAATCTGTGGCAGAAGCTGATCAGGTAACAGCAAAGGGACTTTGATTCTCTGCATTTTAAAATACCACTTTTTTAAAAAAATAAATCTTTATGGCCAAATATTTTGAACAAATTTTCAGCTATAAAAATGTGCCTGCCACTAGAAGTGTGCATTGTTTGGAAATGGAAATGCTGTAAGAAATAAAATCAAAGGGGGTCACTTAGGTTGCTTCCAGATTGCCTGTGTATTGAGCATACATCTTGGTGTACGTTTATTTAATTTGTTTGTGGGCATGTTTTATGATGTTGTGTCAAGTGTTATCCCACACTTATCAGTGCATGTTCCCATCACTTGCCCTATAACAAAAAAATCAATTGGGGGGTGGGGCTTGTTTTGTTCTGCAACAGCACCAAATCAACTTTAATTCAACTTCCTGAATTTGCTGGTATATGGTTGAGCCCCACCTGAAAAGAGCGGTTGTCTGGAAGCGCCTTTACAGTGAATGATAGCTGCTTAAACTGATTGGAGATCTACCATAAATAATTTGCTTATTTTGGCTCAGAAATAATGTGACTAGACTGAAAAAAACACTGCCTTTCAAATGGAGGACTTTTCTATGCCAGGCAAAGCCTTTTGACGTGTTTAATACACATAATTGTGACTTTTATAATAGAGGCATTTGAAAACTGGAAATGTTTCTCTCTCTCTCCTTGCAGGAAGCAGGATGGTTAACAGGGATTAAGGAATCTGACTGGCTTCAATACAAGGATGTAGCTACTTATAAAGGACTCTTCCCTGAAAACTTCACCCGTTGTTTGGAGTAGTTCTCAGCTCAGGCATAATATACGTGGTAGGAAGCTCGGTCCTTGCATTCTGAATTTCTCCAATACACAGGAGCCCACCTTTATAGTCGAGCTGTCATGGTTTACAGACTGGTGCCAGACAAAAACTTGGTGACACATATCAAATGAGCATGACTGCAAGAAGTTAAAGCTAGCATATTCTGAAACAGTATGTGGAAAAAAATGTCCTTATTTGTTCACTTTTACGTGGCAACAGGTTTGTTTGTACTTTGTCAGAGCTATGGTGATCCTGTAACTTGATCCTTTCCCATGCAAATCTTGATTAGCCTCCTCAATACCAGAACCTTAACTTCTCTGCACTAATTGTATTGTATTGAGTTGCTGCACTGCAGAAGACTTGATTAGTAAGTAATCCTGTAGTACTGAGGTCAAGCTATTTTAATTTGAGTGTGTTTTTAAAAAAACCTGCAAAGTTTTTCAATGTTATTTTCAAACGTACATACATACATACATACATACAGACAGACACATGAAGATGCATTGTATGTGTATATAGAGCATAAGAATCATAGGTGGCCAACTAGAAGCATATGTGCCAGAGTGACATTGACAGCAGGAAGGAATTGAGGTAAAGCTGGACAGGAATTGGAGGATGCACACATCTGGTTATGACAGTAAGGCTACGCACGCCTGCTTGCTGCCTAGGTTAGACTAGAAGGAAACGCCACAATGGGTATGAGTTGCTTATGTACTATAATGTGCCCTAAAGCAATACTGTCGTACTTTGGCCTTGATTTATGGCATGTTCCCCAAAGGGTTGACCACCACTGATTATATGCATTTGCACATATCTTACCCAGCATTGTAGTTCCTTGATGTAGTATTTGTTCATACAGGCATCTGCTCCGATTGTCTGGCATTACAGTGAAAAATATATGTTCCAACTGGAAACTAGCTGCTCCATTGCCAAAATATTAAGACAGTAATATCTGCATTTGTAATGCAAAATCATCATTCCAAAATGACAAAAATGTTATCAAACTCAAACCTGCTAAAACACCAGGGAAGGCATGGCTCAATCGCCTATATATTACCACCTGCTATACCTAGGGATAAGATAATTATGATAAAGGGTGTTATAATGCTAATTTTCTTACTTTAAAAATTGAATGGGTTGTATGACTAAATAAGATGCTAATCTAAGGAAAAGATAAACACAATATATTTTCACTATATGTATTTATGCAGCACACCTTCAACAATCCCTTGAAAGTTTAAAAAAATGTATACTGTATCAATAAGTCATATGTAACTATTATGTTTTCCAGTGTTGTGTCATTCAAAATAAACCTTTGATCAGCTCCAGAAGCAGCTCAGTTGCTTCTCATCACTTGTACTTTTTCATTTGCTTGTGTGTATTAACTATCCTCCCTATGCATCTTGACGAAAACAAAGCAAGTGGCTACACAACTAGTACCTGCTCTGCAGACAAAAATCTATAATCAGAGGCACAGGGAATGTGGCATGAAGCCTTTGAATGTGAGGTTTAGTAAGCAGGAATGACCAAGTCACTGTCCCATTATTCATTTGGCACAACCATGACTGTCTTTGCAGCCTTGTGATTTATCAAGTCTCGCTTCTGCAAGAGTTCTGCATCATGGCATCTACACACTTAATATGTAATGGCTACCTTATCTGAATGCCATGGGTGTTGCTCTGCTATAGTTGTATTCTGGGCTACTTCCAGAACATGGGGTAAGAAAATCACAAGAGCAGCTCCTACTGAAAATTAAACAGACTTTGGCAATACACCTTTAGCTTCTTTAATCTACAAGCTCTAGGCAAGATGCTGAATCCCACACCAACCCAGCAGAGACACTATATCCCATTGTCTGCTCTAACTAGAAAGTATTTTTGTACTGAACAATGTACACAGCCATTCATGTGACCCACTGTTTCAAATAACCAGCCCTACTTAGAAAACATATTGATAAAGTTTTACCACCTCTCTAATTTTCAGAATGTTAACTGCATCAGCTGGCATTTACATTTTTAAAAACAAGGCCAAAGCAATCCATATGGCTTAGAAACTGGCAGCACTAAGCCTGCTGTTTCCATTTTATCATCAGGCACAAGAGATCAAAACCTTACATTAACATAAGAGTTTATAGTTCTGTTTAAGAGGAGGCAAGGCTTTCTCATGTTGAGAATGTACACCACACAAACACATCTTATTAATGTGTTCCTTTAATTTACAAGGAGCACTTATCTCCATCTTTTTTAAAAAAGAGTTAAAAAATAAAAAGTAAAATGGACGACATTAACAATTTTGTGAATCCAATTCTTCATTAGACGAGACTTTCATCATAAAGTATTACTTCATATACTATTACATCTATAGGTTAGATTCACAAGTACGCCATTCTCCAGTGGCTTCCTGGTCATTAGAAAATGGGCATCATCAAATATCATTGATACATTACACACAAGCACTTTTTCCTATTAGGCATGATTCAGTCATTCTCTCATATGAGATACAGAATTGGTGAGGTATTAACAGAGCCCAGGGATAGTTTCCCTTGATAAATAAATAAATAAATGTTTCTGCTATGAGTTCCAATAATAAGTGAAACATAGTCATCATTCATTACAGTTCCAAGAGTAGCAAATTCTGAGTAATTCCACATTCTGGTTTTCACTCTGAAATAGAAAGCCAAACATTCAAATGCAAGACAGCCAGCAAAACTGAAACACCACCACACTTTGAAACTGGAGTTAAGGAGCAGGGAACCTTTTCCCAGCCACACCTGTTTTCTCTGCACAGGGGCTTGCTGGATAGAGGAACATTCAACCACTGGCTGAAACTGTACAGCCAAGAGCAGGTTTATCTGCTGCTTAATTATGTAGTTACACGATACCCAGCTGTATCTTGTACCTAACCTCACAACCTGTATCTATGTCTTCAATATAAGACAAATTTATTTTCTTACTCAACAGCGCAAGTAAAGCGCACAGAAACAAAATGCTACGGTGAAAATTTGTTCTGTACAGTGGTACCTCTGGTTACATACTTAATTTGTTCCGGAGGTCCGTTCTTAACCTGAAACTGTTCTTAACCTGAAGCACCATTTTAGCTAATTATCCTGAAGCAAAGTTCTTAACCCGAGGTACTATTTCTGTAACCTGAAGCGTCTGTAACCTGAAGCGTATGTAACCCGAGGTACCACTGTAGTAGTATTTGGGGTTTAGCAATCTATAGTCTAATCTTCAAGCCAATTGTATAAATAATACACATTGGGGCAGGAGAACATGCAGGTTACAGCTGCTAAATTGTGGACAAACTGTTGACCCAGTACTTCAAATGTAAGAACTTACCTATTATTTTTTTTGTCATATTTGCTATACAACAGGCTTTTCACTGTCCTGTTTTTCTTCAGATTCTTCATCAGATCCTTAAAAACCCAAATAAAAATGCAAAATGCAAAATGAAGCTCATAATGATAATTTTTTACATTATATATCAATGAACATGGGGAAATACCGTATTGGCCCGAATATAAACCGCACCTTTAAAATTCAAGAGGAAAAAAGAAAAAAAAGACTGCAGGCACTCACACGCGTACATGGCAAATGTAGAAGACAATCCTACGGGTACCATTCCCTCGTGCTCCCAGGCTACTCTCTGGGGAGGAGGAGCCGCGCCGCTTTGCTGGCGGCCTCCCCACCCTTCCCCCTTCCTTACGGAATGTGCACAACAAAGAAAAAGAACATATTAGTGAGATACTGCAGAAGCCCACTCCAGCAAAAACCCTGGTATTGTGTTAAGGATTCTTTCCTTATCCCTACCAGACAGTGAAAGTGCTCACCACTATGATTGATTTGAAAGCAAATCTCTGGTTCTTTGAAAAACCCATCTGAATGCATAAACAGCAGCTCTCTGAAAACATCACTGGCACAAACTTTATGAAGCCTCAAAAATATATCCTGGCACCAGCCTCTCATTTGAAACGAAGACACAATTCTCATGAAATATATGGTGAAATAAAAAAGCAAGAGAGTTGGACTGATATATATTGTACCTGCAGCACCCTAGATCAAAAGCTGGCCTTGCAGTAGCATAACTAATTTACAAATGCAAAAGTTTAGATTTTGATAAGGCAGGTCATGTGAGTATTTGGGTTTCTTGGAATTATGAACATATAAATTAAGATGGACATGGTAAAGGCATTCTAGTTTTTGGAATAGGGCAAACGTGGTTTTTTAAAAAATATCCCTAATATGCTGAATGATTTTTCTACTAGTGGATGAGGAAGGACATAGCTCAGCAGTATAATAAATGTTTTACATGCTGACTACTGACATCTACAGTAAAAGAGTAACAGGAACTCAGCTTGAGACCTTGCAGAGTCACTGACATTCATGAGATAGATGGACCAATGGCTAAACTCAGTACAAGGCAGAATACTGAACTGACTATATGTTCAGAATGATAATAGGGAACCACTTCCAGCCCCCAAAAATGGAACAATGATCTCTCTTGCGGGAGAGTGGTTAAGTAATTCCCTTAAAATCTACGGGAGCATCAAGTTATGTATCTGCAATACTTTTATTGTCTTACAGAGAAAATCAGCTTCAGTCCTTCTGTACACCAAATAGCGTTTAGAAAACGCATTGTTTCTTCAAAGTCAGTATCACAGCTACAAAATAATGATCTTTGATTTGTTTCAGCATAACTGCGTCCCCTACTCCTGCAGTAACTGAAGCTCCCAAGATCCTAATGATCATCACTGTCTTTGCTTACCACTAGATGGAGCTAAAAGAAAATTAATTCCAATTCTATTTCCTCACAATTCCTCAAAGCAATCCAAACTTCACTGTATTACTGACACTCACTACTGGCAGTCATACAGCCAATATTGCTCATTTAACAAACATACATATGAATAAGGCAGAACACAGAGGTAGCAGACTGCTTTGCAAACCTTTTAAAACTTGTTTAGACCTGCACCCTGTTAACTTCTTCACACTTTTCTCTCAGACATCAAGATGAGAGATCATCTTTAACCTATCCTCTAAGACAGGAGTGTCCAACTTCCAAGAGACTGCAATCTACTCCCACTATAAAGAAAATGGCAGTGATTTACCCATTGGATTGAGCAGAGTTGTTGAGCTTTTGGGGGGGCTTCATCAAACTTTGTTTTTGTTTGGTTGATTGCTGAAGATCATGCGATCAACCAGGATTGATCAGGAGCAGCCTGCAATCGACCAGTAGATCACGATCAGCCAGGTGGACAGGTCTGCTCTAAGAGAACAAAGGAGCAAGCATGGCTGCCTCGTTCTTCCCTAGACTAGTTAGACTAAAACCAGAAACTGTTTGATGCAACAATAAACAACTGTATTATTTTCTTACCTACAAGTATCTCTCTGTGTGTGTGTGTGCACATGCGCACGCAAGCTCCCAACAAGTAAAATCTACTCTCTAACCAAGATGCACTAGCTAAATGCTGCTCATTCTGCATACTAAAGGATTTGAAAACATAACTGACAGTGTTGTTCCAAAACCTATCTAGTCCGCGTCCTGTTTCCCATAGCAACAAATCAGGAGGCTATAGGAAACCCATGAGCAAGGCATGATTCTTACCTGTTCTTGTTCAGAGGCATGCTGCTTTAATACTGAAAGTAAAATATACAGTGGTACCTTGGTTTACAACCATAATCCATTCCGTAGGTCCGTTTGTAAACCAAAACAGGTTGTAACCCAAGAAAAAATTTTGTTCGTAATCCCAAAAAAGGGGTTGTAATACAAAAAAAGGTTGCAAACCCGGACATGCACTTCTGGGTTTGATGTGTTTGTAATCCAAAACGTATGCAAACCAAGAGGTATGCAAACCAAAGTACCACTATATAGCCTTCATGACTTTGAACAAGCACCCCTGCCTGCTGCCCATGCCCACGTCACCACTGGTTGCTGACGCTCGCTGTTCCTGCCTGGACACACGATGGCCTAACCCCTGGCTCAAAAGAAGGGAGACGAGGGGCTGGGGCAAGACGGGCCTGCTCCCCCCACCCCAGTCCTGTTTCGCTCAGGTTGGCGCCACAACCTCCTGGCATATGAGGGGAATGGATTCCCCATGGAATTAACATACCACAACTTCCAAAATACCATTTTTACACGTGGCGTCCTCCCCTTCTTTCATTTCGCGGAGCCACAGGAACCTTTGCGGCCTACCTGTCTTAGGAGCTATGAGACAGAAAGGAAAATAAAAGCAGAGGAAGAGGATACAGATAGGAAATGTCTGGGAATCCCAAAGTCTAAACTCAGAGACCCTGGCTTATGTCTCGCAGCAGGACTCAGGATACATCCTAGACCTCAACCTTCCTCTGTTCCCTCCCTGTGTCAAATTAAAGATTGTAAGCCCCCTCGGGGCAGGAACCTCTTTCTCAAGGGTCACACGCAGCGATGGTGCAAAGAAATAACACAAAATAAATCTTGCTACGCTCCTGCCCTGTACAAGCTGAAGTCCGCTAGAGGCCTTTCCCTTAAAACCAAAGCTGTGTACACACTATCCATAGGGGCTAAGTCCGCAGAGCTGCATTGCTGACAGGCAGGGGCTTGGACCTTAGAAATGCAATTGGCAGAGAGGGCTCTGTGTGAGGTGCTTTTCCCTGCTCTCCTGGAGAGAAAGGAGCATATTGCACTACATGTTGCCCCCTCTTTCTTGGACCCGTGTTGGATGCAGGCATGCCTCTTCCGCATGTGCCTGGCGTTGGTTATGTACATGTCAGTTCTGTTACAAAAGTTGGGTTTTGTTACAAAAGTTGGGTGTCGCACTGAACTTTTGTAACAAAACTGATATTTACATAACTAACGCCAGGGTGTTCCAGGCAGTCACCCAGGGTCCGTGTTCCTTGGTAGAACGAAGACACGGCATAGATGGTCGTAGCTCCAAGAAATATGCGTTATTCTCCTATTGCCACTTTCTGTCTGCATGGAGGGAATCCACATCTGACAGCAGGGTCTTGTCAAGAGGGGCTTGTTCTCCACAGCAGAGCAGCCCTGGAGTCCAAGGCATCTCTCCCTGGCTCTCCAACGGGCCATCAACCCCTTTTGGCATGTTCCTCTCTCTATCCCAGGTGAGACCCTGGCTTGGAAAGAAACTGGAGCCTGCACTTTCCCACTGACCTCCAATCTTCCCATTAATACTTCAAATCCTCCCATTTATTAATCTCCAGGTTTAGGGGTGGCCCCTGCAAACCCAGAAAGTATTTTGCCTGCATAGTTTTTACTGCTACTGTTGCTGTGAATCAATGCATGATAATAAAATAAGGCTTATTTTTAAACTTTCAGCTTGCTGCCTGATTCTTTCTGAAGTGGTCTTTCTCAAGTGGACTTGCTCCAAACAAGGTTTCACAGCCTAACTCCTAAGCTTTTGGTTTTGCTGCTAGAGGGGATTTTAAAACTCTGTTCGGCTCACATTTGTGGGTATCTGGAGGGATAAATTTCAATTAATGTATACTCTCCTTCCTGTTAAAACCCATTCCACACAGGGGCAAGATCCTGAAACTTTGGGAAATTCTCTTTAAAAAGATCTAGAACGTGCTTAGGATCAATGAGTGTGTATGTTGCCATTTTACTGGAACGACCTTGTGATTTAAAGGTGGGATGTGAATGCAACCTTAAAGAGAATAGAGGCATGGAAAGGTCATATGGTTCAACCTTGTAAGCAACCAGATATTCACAACAGAAAATATAATCTGGGGACCACAGCTGAGGACCTGCCAAGCTTTCAACATCTGTGGACAAGTCAAGCCAGGGAGCCAAGCCACATGCACCAGTGACGGGTGACAATAATAATAATGTTTCTATGCCACTCATCATCTCTGGGCCTCAGAGCTGCTCCTACCTTCAGAGTTCCTTCTCATGATCACTGATGGGCACACTTGATCCTACTACTGATCCTGAAGAGCTGTCCAGCCCAGCTTCATGTCTCCCACCAAGTGCCCCCCTTCTAGAACACACCGCTCTCAACAACCTTCCCCCCCCATATTCACTCTCTCTTTCTAAGCCTCCTCCAACCTTCCGTCTCCACCAGAATTCCACTCTCTCTCTTCCCTCCTCCCTCCCTGCTTGACATTCACTTGGGAATTCTAATAGAATCACCTTACTTACCCTATTGCAAAAAGGGAGGAAGAGGTTACAGATGGGAAATGTCCGGGAATCCCAAAGTCTAAACTCACAGACCCTGGCTTATGTCTCGCAGCAGGACTCAGGATACATCCTAGACCTCAACCTTCCTCTGTTCCCTCCCTGTGTCAAATTAAAGATTGTAAGCCCTTCGGGGCAGGAAAAGAGATGGGAAGGCCTGGAAAAAAACTGGAAAAATGGGGGGGGGACACACCAGGTTTTTCCCCCATTTTTTCCAAAGCCAATTTTTTCCCAGAAAAATAGAAAAAAATAGATATACTTTGAATATTCCACACACTATCCCCCCCCATTTTTCCTTAAAAAATGGCTTTGGGGGGGAATGGGAAAACCTCCCCCCACCCTCAATTTTTCTGTTTTTTTCCAGGCCTTCCAGCACCCACACTTTGGAGCTCCCTGCCAACGGACACCAGGCAGGTGCTCTTACTGTACTCTTCCCGGCAACTGCTCAAAACATTTTCGTTAGTGCCAGCCCATCTGAACACGTAGAAGCTGCATGCGATTTACTTCCTTTTAACCACTGTTGACTTTAATCATCTTTTGAATACTCTTAAATACTTCTTTTAACTGTGTTTTATCAATCATTTTAATGTTGTGTTGTATATTTTTGTAAACTGTTTAGAAAGCTCTCTTACCATCATGTGGTTTATAACATATTAATAACAAATTCAATTTTAAAAACACACACACTCCTTTTCCTTTCAAACAGAGTTGGAGCCTTAGTGCAACATACTATTCAGTAACTGGGTGTTGGTTTCTTCCGGGCCTGACATGCCAAAAATTTGCCTTGCGCTGTGCCCCGGCTGTCCTCAAGTAGAGATGGGAAGGCCTAGAAAACCCCCCAGAAAAAACAGGTTTTTCCTGTTTTTTCCCAAAGCTGTTTTTTTTAGAAGTCCATGAGAAAAATAACAAAGAGGAAGAGGAAGAAGAAATGGAAAATGATAGTAGTTCAGAAAATGAGAGAGAATAAACTGCATGTATATGTTTTGTCTTCTGTTTGGTTTTTTTAAAGCACTACTCAAAAGGTAGAGCTTCTATGGAGCTTAAATACTGATAATCTGATTATTATTTATGTTTATGGTTTCTTGCTTTTTTGTTGCTTTTGAGGGAAAGGAGGGTGGTTACCTGTTTTAATGCAAGCATAGTACTTTTATATACACTGTGTTTCACGCAATTTGTAAAACTACTCCACACTGAACTCCCCCCCCCAAAAAAAATTTTCCATTTTTTTCTGGGGAAAAACGGGAGGGGGGCATTTTTTTCTCATGGCTTTAAAATTTCCAGAAATTTTACATCTATACTTGGAGCCATACTTTCCCTCACCAGATCTGTCTTTAATTCCCTTTTAAATCCATCATTACATTCTGTGCCTGCAAATAGTAGTTTAACTATGCATTTTGTGCAAAAGTACTTGAACCCAGTATTAGCACTTGATCCCAGTAGATGTCAGATAATTTTTCTAGACCTTACAGATTTTGCTTTAATCATTACTGACTCTAGTTCAGTATTTTATTGTGGTTGTGGATTTTTGGATATTTTATTGAACTAGTATTGTAATGGCTGGTTGAAATGCAGGATACTGTACAAATATAATAAATAAATGCAGGTGCCAACTTTTAAATTAACTTATTCTGACTGCAGGCCTTCAAGTTTTTTTGACTACAATATTTAATATTTATACAGTGGAACCTTGGTTTAAGAACAGCTTAGTTTATGAATAACTTGGATTAAGAACGCTGCAAACCTGGAAGTAGGTGTTTTGGTTTGTGAACTTTGCCTTGGAATAAGAACATGGTTAGCTTCCTGCTGAGTGTGTTCTATTTGTAAATTGAGTCCCCCGCTGCTATAGGAAAGCATGCCTTGGTTTAAGAACGTTTGGTTTAAAAACGGACTTCCGGAACAGATTAAGTTCGTAAACCAAGGTACCACTGTAGTCAAAAAGAATGAGACAATTGAAATCTGAATAAAATCAATCCCTAAAGTGCCGTGCATTATCTTGATCTGATGAAAAACCTCAGTACCTGCTTCAGATTCAGGTGGGGAATAGAACTGTCCATCAGAGGGGAGTCCCGAGTGAATAAGAGCAGCTCGTTCAGAGGCATCCTGCACCAACAGTAGTCCTGAAAGGAAATGAAAGCATTCCATGACTACAGTATCTTTCAAAGGAAGTGTCCAGCTTTTAAAATCTAGGGCTGTGCACAGTCCCCCAATTTCTCTGTGGCTCCAATGGGGGGGGGAATCAGGCCAACCCACCCTGAGATACGGGTCCCAAATTAGTTTGGGGGCATGGCAATGTTTAATTGGGGCTTTGGTTATTTTAATGGGGGATCAATTCTAGAGGGTGGCCCTTTGCAAGCAGCTTCTGATTCCAAAGGAGCACACAGGAAAGATGCGAGGTGAGGTGCAGTTTGCAAGTTAGTTATCTGCAGGGAAGCCACCCTACAAAGGAACACCTTGCACTGCACAAGATTGTTGCTGCCGCACAAAAGCCGTTAAGTGGAGGCACCAATCCCTTCAGAGTAGGGTGTACGGCAGGAAGGAGAGTCAGGTGGCATCAGGCTCCTACCTTCTCCTGGGAAGACACAACTGGAGGTCAGGTAGATCTCAGCCTTTTCATGGAAAATGCCATGACTTGTCTCTTCTTTATGCCTGATACCCTGACAGAGCTGGATCCCTAAGTCATCTAATCTGACTCACAGTGATATGTGGCTATCTCAACCCAACTCATCCAAGGCCTGAATCCCTTTCGATAGGTCCAATTTGGTTTGGGATTTGGGTCTCACCTGAATTCAGTGCACAGCCAGTGTGGTGTAGTGGTTAAGAGCGGTGGACTCGTAATCTGGTGAACTGGGTTTGATTCCCCGCTCCTCCACATGCAGCTGCTGGGTGACCTTGGGCCAGTCACACTTCTTTGAAGTCTCTCAGCCCCACTCACCTCACAGAGTGTTTGTTGTGGGGGAGGAAGGGAAAGGAGAATGTTAGCCGCTTTGAGACTCCTGAAGGGGAGTGAAAGGCGGGATATCAAATCCAAACTCTTCTCTTCTTCTTCTTCTTAAAAAGAGCAGTAACAGCAGAAATCTTTAAATGTCCTTCTTGTATGAATGTATTTCAGGGAAAGTCATTATAACAATTTTACTCTGTGGATACCACTCTCCCTCAAGCCCTATGTAAGAATATTGTGTACTTGAAGTTCCTTCTGTTTATACAGTAAATACGCTTCCTGGGGCAACTGCTAACTGCACGGCAAAGAAACTTACTGTTTCCTTCTTCTGCTTCTTGTGGTAAAACTTTGAAGTCTAGGAACCAGGTTTCAATCCAGGCAAGAATGAAAGATATGATGGGCAATACATAGCCAAAAGCCCCTTGAGTTAATAGCTTAAAGGGGATACATGAAGAGGAGAGAGAACAAGTTATGTCAAAACATCTCACAGCAAAACAGTTACATGATATAAATTAGAATTCACTGTTATAATCCATACCTTGGACAGAATTACTTTTGCTAATAAAAAGGCACTGGTTACTGCTGTTGTAAACTGAAAGAAATAGTAAGAGTTATGAAGGCAACAAATTTGCAATCCATAGCACGACACCATAACAGTTAACCACATAACTACAATTGTCCTCCTTAAGCTCTAAGCAATACTTAGCAATCTCACTGTTTGCTAATGTTATGGCCACAGGGTGTTTAATAAATGGGCAGAGCAATCCTACTAAGTATAGGAAGCTGGTAGAATTTACTCTGACTTAAATTCAGACGGTTTAAATACCCCTACTACAAGCTCCATTCAGGGACAGGACTACTGCCAGCTGAGCCAGCCTAAGCCTGGCAGAAGAGAAACAGGCCTTTAAAATAGTTTGAATTACAACATCATTTTTGCCAGTGTTTAGTTCCACCAGGTTGATATGTCAAATGACTAAGCTGAAAGTTTTAGAAAAGTCTCTCCTCATTGCACCCCGTCACGTTTTTGCAGCTTCCTCCAGCTTAAGTTCTAACAGCTGAGCCCCAGCTGAGTTGGGATGCGGGAATTTAAGTAAGCATAGCCCCAACTGAGTCCCAGCTCAGCACAAGAGCTTCCTACTCTAAACTTGCTCATTCTGGAAGATCTTGTGTTTGGATTGTGTTGTAAATGGTACTGGCCAAAGATTAAAAAATACTTTCCATACTTCTGAGTTTCCCAACAGAGGAATTTGCATCCACAGGACACCCACAGAACTTTGCTCACCATTTGAAAGCATGTGTAATTTGCAATATACTATATGCATTCCCACCTTGTGAAAGTAAATCCAACCAATTCTAACAACACAAGCACACAATTTCTCTTCAAATTCCTCAGAAAACAAATCTTTAACACAAAGAGTTGGGCAAAGTTGATGCCTATCTTGCACATAACTGGTATTCGTGGCTAAGTCCCTTCTCCACTGACATGAATTTGCACATTGTAAGAGTTATGCAAAGGGGTGGGTGGCGCTGTGGGTTAAAACACAGAGCCTAGGACCTGCCGATCAGAAGGTCGGTAGTTCAAATCCCCGTGACGGGGTGAGCTCCCGTTGCTCGGTCCCTGCTCCTCCCAACCTAGCAGTTCGAAAGCACGTTCACCAGAAGCGGCTTAGTCATGCTGGCCACATGACCTGGAAGCTGTACACCGGCTCCCTCGGCCAATAAAGCGAGATGAGCGCCGCAACCCCAGAGTCGGTCACGACTGGACCTAATGGTCAGGGGTCCCTTTACCTTTAAGAGTTATGCAAGAGGAAATATTTTTGTTAGCTAGTGCAAATGCAAGTAGAACACTAGAGCTACATCTCACACACCGTATCATTTAAATACCATTTTTCAAAATCTTCCAACTTTTAAACTTAATTTGAAGTCTACTACTTACAGCTATTGCCCACCAGTGTTGAAGTCTACACAATGCATATGCAAGTATCAAAATCATAAACCGAAAGACTGCCAGGAGCTATAGAGGAAGGAGGAGGGAGAGAAAAAGGCATTAAGGTCATTTTTTTAAAGGAACAAAATAATAATAATCAGAAACTAAAATTATATACAGTGGTACCTCGGGTTACATACCCTTCAGGTTACAGACGCTTCAGGTTACAGACTCCACTAACCCAGAAATAGTACCTTGGGTTAAGAACTTTGCTTCAAGATGAGAACAGAAATTGTGCTCCGGTGGCGCAGCAGCAGCAGGTGGCCCCATTAGCTAAAGTGGTGCTTCAGGTTAAGAACAGTTTCAGGTTAAGAACGGACCTCCGGAACGAATTAAGTACTTAACCGGAGGTACTACTGTAAGTGATTTCTACACAATCTAGATGACAACAAACATTTTCTGTGTGACACACTGATTTTACAGTTCTCCTCCTTTCGCTTTCATGAAGTCACTGGAACTGCATTTGAGCAATACAGCTGAGCAGAGTTTCTTCTTCAAGCAGATAGAAACTTCATTAAGAATAAGAAATTCTGAGAGTGTAATTGACAAATATCCTGTCCACTCTTAGAAACAATTTTAGGTATCCAATTCAGGCAAGTTTCACAAGACTACTTTACATTATAATTACTAATACAGTGGTATCTCAGGTTAAGAACTTAATTCGTTCCGGAGGTCTGTTCTTAACCAGAAACTGTTCTTAACCTGAAGCACCACTTTAGCTAATGGGGCCTCCCACTGCCGCCGCACCGCCAGAGCACAATTTCTGTTCTCATCCTGAAGCAAAGTTCTTAACCCGAGGTACTATTTCTGGGTTAGCAGAGTCTGTAACCTGAAGCGTATGTAACCCGAGGTACCACTGTAAAACAGAATTAAGACACAGGAAGCAAATACTTACGAAGATATCAAAGTACGAAGAATGGTAGTCATACTGGAGGACTTCTTTTTCTAATGTTTTCTCAATGCCTCCATTTACCTACAGAAAACAGAATTGATCAAGCTATTAACATAATTAATTTTCAATTTTTGAAAGCACTTCAGCAGAGTTCTGTGGTTCTCCTTTTCAAAAACCAAAACCACATGGTACAAAGCAATTCAAAACATACATACAATAAATCACTTGGGTCCTAACAATATAGCAGAACTGAGTTGAGAATAAAACCAAAGAGACTCGTGCAAGCAGTCTACTCCATAGCTGTCAAGTGTCCCTTATTTGAAGGGACAGTCCCTTATTCCAGTGCCCTGTCCCACTGCTGTCCCTTATTGATAGATGTCCCTTAAATGATGTCCCTTAAATTTCAAAGGAAGCAGCTCCCTGCCGGCCAGGGAGGAGTGAGGCTCCAACTGTGTTGCTTGGCTGTGTTGTTCACCCAATAAGAAGTCTAAGAACGACTGGGGGGTGGAGCTTGCATGCCTTGTGTGTGGCTAGTTAATGCAAGCTGAGGAGGTTTTTGAATGGACGCCATTTTGTTGCAGTGCAAAGCCAGGCCAGGGAGCCATCTTAAGTTGAGGCTGCACAGGCCTTGTGGTGCATGTGATTCAGATTCTATTCAGTTGAACCTCTGGTTACAAAGTTGGTTGGACAGTGTTCTCGAAGCTACCAGCATGAGTTTGACCAGACTGCAGGAGGACAGGAAGACTGAAGTGCCTGGAACAGGTGAGGCTGCAGGTCCCTTATTTTGGCGGCTGGTCCCTTATTTTCAAGGCTGCTGGTCCCTTATTTTCAAATCTGTAAGTTGACAGCTATGGTCTACTCACAGGAGCAATGTAAGATGGGAGCCACAAACACATGAGTCACAGCTCCATTTCCATGCAAAGAAAAACTGCAACAAGATTTTTACTTCCATGGAATAAGAGCTGCAAATGTGAATACAAGTTCACAGTTCCATTACCCTTTTTGATCAAGCAGACTACTGTATGAGCAGCACAAATCACCCCCGGAATACGCCCACCCTGGCATTTTAACTTCAATCATACTAGAGATCCAAGGCTGAATCTCATATGCAAGGGTCACAAACATTAGTGCTTTGCTTATCAGAAAGAAGGAAAGGCCTGCCATGTATACACACAATTCACCACTTCCACCACCATTCTCTTGATTATGGCAATTTACAGCCATGCAAGTGAACACAGACTTGTTGTGTAACCAGATGCATTAACAAAGCAATTCAAGACTTCCACCAAAAATCAACTACTGTGAACAGAAACTTATAACGTAAAATAAAGATCACTTGCCAGCTGCCACTGGAACATGCAATTAGAAGTCATTAACAGGAAATGGACCTAAGGATTTTTAACTTTATATCTGTCAAATTTATTCCAATTTTAGCAGGAAAGTGTTTTGACTTTAATAATTTATGAATTAGGTAAAAAGTAAAGTTTAAAGGAAGCAATACCATTTTCCAATTTGTAAAAAAAAAAAAGGGGGGGGGGAGAATTACAATGGAATTATACATGCTGAAGCAGCCCACCAAGATATATCCAGTCCTCTGATCCAGTGTAATACAGTGCTAACCATGCAAACAGAAGTCCACATTCCAATTTCCCCTCAGCCAGCAACTCAGAAGGTGGCTTTAGGTGAGCCACTTTCTCAGCCTCAGCCACTTCTACCAAACAATGATAACACCATAGCCCTGTCAGTTTGGTCATTAAGATGACAGAGAATGTGTAAGATGTACTCTAAAACACTACAGAAATGCCAAGTAAGATTACTAGCTGGGAAATGCATTCCTGGAACTTTATATTCACTATGAATACTTTGCTAAACAGTTTTAATTCAGAACCAAATGTTAGATAAAATGCTGGATTTCTATGATCAGAATTTATGAGACTGGAAGGTGGGGGTACCAGATGTCATTCATTCTTTTAACATTTCCCCTGCTTTTTGCTCCATTAGAGAAAATGTCTGTGTGCCCAAAGAAGGAGAAAGGAGAGCATTTTTAATCAGGAAAACAGCACAGAGGGGAAAACTGAACTCCCCCATTCCTACTTCAGAGTGCCCCAAACCCACAGACTGGCCCCTGTTTAGATTGAATAACAAAGTATGAATTGGCTTAATTGCTGCTGGTTACAGACAGATTATACAAACTATGTAGAAAGATTCAATGCTCCCTTAGCATATTTGCTTTAATACATGTACAGGTATAACAAGCTAACTGGCTGAAAGTTCTCATATAAAAAAACCCATGTTGTTTGCAGACAAAATCAAACTTCTTCCACACCTCTTTCTTACCTAGGTAAATAAATAAACAGCCTTTTACAATACTCCTTGCATATTTTTATCAAATGAGTAGGCTGGTTATGGGGCGCGGGTGGCGCTGTGGGTTAAACCACAGAGCCTAGGACTTGCCGATCAGAAGGTCGGCAGTTTGAATCCCCGTGACGGGGTAAGCTCCCGTTGCTCGGTCCCTGCTCCTGCCAACTAGCAGTTCGAAAGCACGTCAAAGTGCAAGTAGATAAATAGGTACCACTCCGGCGGGAGGGTAAACGGCGTTTCGGTGCGCTGCTCTGGTTCGCCAGAAGCAGCTGTCATGCTGGTCACATGACCCGGAAGCTGTACGCCGGCTCCCTCAGCCAGTAAAGCGAGATGAGCGCCGCAACCCCAGAGTTGGCCACAACTGGACCTAATGGTCAGAGGTCCCTTTACCTTTAGGCTGGTTATGAAGCAAAATTTTCAATTATTCACAAACACACCATGCTCTTGTATGAGCAGTTGGCCTACTGCATACCCAACATTTAAATTACTAGGCTCTTACAAAGCAGTACTGGTTATAAAGGCCACAGATTTATAGCCAACTAATCCAAGAGAAATAAAAAATAAATTTTTAAAAAATTGGCCAGTAGCACCTTAGAGACCAACTAAGCTTGTTCTGGGTATAAGCTTTCATGTGCATGTTCAGATGCACATGAAAGCTTATACCCAGAACAAACTTAGTTGGTCTCTAAGGTGCTGCTGGCCAATTTTTTAATTTTTAAAATTTATTTTGACTGTGTCAGAACTACACAGCTACCTACCTGAATCTATAATCCAAGGGAGTTTACAGAACAGAAATTCATAAAATTCTGGCATCATGGTGGCTCCTTGATGAAAACTCTGATATGTAGGAACATGGGTGGATTGCAGTACCAGCCTACTTGAGCACTTAATACAGAAGGTAGTAATGCAGGTTGTACCCAAACGGAACCTAGCACAAACTGAAGCCATCTCTGCTTACACAGGTAATCCTTAGCTGCAATTCACGCCAACCTCCTCCTCCGTATCTAATCTGTTCACTCTTTTCCCACGAGTCCCTCCAACCTTCCAGCCTCACTTTTCAGGGGCAGGGTGCAAAAGCCTTTTTCCTCTCACAATTTATTGGATCCAGGCCATTCTGTCAACATCAAAGGCTGCTGGAAAATGTTTCTTCTACAGTTTAGACAAGCTTTCCCCAACCTGTTACCCCCAGCTGTTTGGGACTACAATTCCCATCAGTCCTAGTCACCACACAAATCCCCACAGTACAGATGAAGGAAGCCCTTCAATTGGCTAGAATAGAATACTTTGTTCAAGCATAATTTCAGGGGAGGGATCCTGCGGTTGCCAGAGAAGACCTCTTTGGGCACAACCAGTATTTTCTTTTCTGAGGGGATGCCAGGGGATACATACCCCTAAACATTTTGTGAATCTAAGTTTGGCCTCATTGAGGGGCAGTATTTCAATATGGGTACGAAAATGAGAGTACCCCTAAACTTTTTTTTAGAAAAAAAGCACTGGGCACAACACTGGTAAGCCATGATGTAATCTGCATCTTAACATTACTGTTTCAATTATATTTCATAGTCGAATGCAAAATGTTCTTATTTATTATTCTGGACATTCTTACTCATCTGAACTGAGAGTGAAATACCTTCCAGAAATGGTTGAAAAATTCAGTGCAATCTTACACTGCTGAACTGGTTCATTTTGTTTGTTACAACTCATAAATAAAATTCAGTTTCAAGATACTAATTTGGCAAAGACTAGAGAAGCTCACTATTCTGGATCCAACCTTTTGTCAGAAGTACAGTTTGAAAGACACTCACATTTAACTCTATTATCCACAGCAAGGTTATAAACAAGAGGTCAAAGGTGACAAACAAACAGAAAGTCCTTCGGACATCAGATATGCCTTTTTTCTCTCTGCTTTCATAAGACTCAATTCTTGCCATTAGCTGTGCTGGGTTGATGGAATGAACATCCCGTAAAGAAGGATGAGAGCTCAGACTGCTGCCATGGGCATTTTCTTGATCGTCTAACAGCCGACTCATCCTGTCTTTGGTTACAGCAGCTTTTTTCCAGTTTCAACATCACTATCAGGCTTATCCATATACGAGATTTCTCTAGAAAAGAAAATTCCACAATTAGTCATGTCAACATGACCATTATTAATAAAGAAGCCCTACTTCATTATGTAAACACATCACAACTTAATAAAAGTGAGCTCAAATGAGTGACATGTTGCCAGGCAAATATAAGGTGGGGAGGAAGTTCTGCATTCTTGGGGGACAACCTAAATATGAAGAAGCCTGTAAGACTGCAGGTTAGGGGGGGGGAATTAATGCTGGAAAAATGGCACCATGAACTTCTACAACCTACAGAACACTGGAGAGCACAGAAGAAAATGCTAAAGTACAGTGGTGCCTCGCAAGACGAAATTAATCCGTTCCGCGAGTCTCTTCGTCTTGCGGTTTTTTCATCTTGCGAAGCACGGCTATTAGCGGCTTAGCGGCTATTAACGGCTTAGCGGCTTTAAGAAAAAGGAAACAAACTCGCAAGACGTTTCGTCTTGTGAAGCAAGCCCATAGGGAAATTCGTCTTGCGGAACGACTCAAAAAACGGAAAACTCTTTCGTCTAGCGAGTTTTTCGTCTTGCGAGGCATTCGTCTTGCGGGGCACCACTGTAATTTATTATCCGGAGAAATAACTTCTTGATCCAAACTGAGCAGTTTTGCCTCCTCCAGGATAGAATTATCGCTGCCTAGAGAAATCAAGGATTCTAGTGTAGCTGTGGTTGTACATCACTGTGTTCACATTCCCCCTCACACACACCAAAAGGTAGCAACCATTTCTAACTCAATTTTTATTTAATCTCCCAAAATAATTACTAAGAGTTTTAAAACGTTTTTAAAATGCCACTTCAATACCATTAATATTATACTCATACTGCAGGCTGGGGAAACTTGACTATGAAAGAGGGACTGACAACAGTCCAATGTACAGTGGAACCTCGAGTTGAAGACGTAATCCGTCCCAGAGGCATGCCTGCAACTCAAAGCGTTCACATTCAGAAGTGCTGCGTCTGCGCGTGTGGCGCAATTTAGCACTTCTGCGCGGGTGGCGAAACCCGGAAGTAACTGTTCCAGTACTTCTGGGTTGCCACAGGGCGCAACTTGAAAAGACGTAACCTGAAGCCGACGCAAGTTGAGGTATGACTGTAGTGCACTGTTTTATTGCAGATAAGAGGTGGATCAAAAAACTATTTGAAAAGCAACAAAGAAGGGAAAGAATATTTTTTTAGTCCCTATACCAGTTCACAGTATCCTGTAAGTATGCACTAGTAACAGAAAACTGTGCACCAAAAGATTTTTTGAAAAAAACAAAACACTCCCAGGTTCAGGGTTGGCAGATGAAACAGCACTCCTGTTAGGAGCTGGGAGTGCACTGCAACATTTTGTTACAGGACAACTTGGTATTCCTTCTATTCCTACATTTATGGAACGAAATATTATTTTTATGCTTTTCTCCCCAGTGTGATCATTACAGGGAAACAATGTTTAATTTTTCATACATAGTGTAAGAACAGAAAAAATAACTGCACCTCTGACATAACTGCTCAATGACATTGTATAATACTGTATAATACTGGAAGTCTATTTTTTAAATATATTTTCCAGTTGAAGATAGAACCTTCTGTTAATCTGGACCTTGCCAGGCCTGCAGAACCAGAAACTACAGCAATCTGAAAGCACTTGGTGGAGCAGCCACAATAGATCACAATAGGCGGAACGTACAACTTTGTGTCATTTTAGTGCAAACTGGTGGGAACTTTGTGTAAGATTTTGCTGCCTGCAATGTGGAATCTTGGCATCCTGATGGATAAGAATAAAGGTGGAAGAAACAGCAATGAAGCCAAAACAAGAGGAAAACAATAGCATGTTTTGGCAAGCCACTGCTAGAGTATTTTGAAGTGCTGTGCATGGAGAAAGGCAGGTAAAGGACGGGCCTCAGGTATACAATTTCCTATTCAAGGAAGGACTATTCAATATTTTGCACTAACTTCCTCATTCATCTGGACATACCAATATAGTGCAGGTGATAAATATTAAAGGACAGCAGAGTTAACAAGTGGGTAGCTAAGCCTCATTGCCTAGATTCATGACGTACCATAGCTACTGGGATGTGTCTTGATACTCAGCTGCATACCTTTCCTGGTGTCTCACTTGCAGCTAGGTGAGATATGAGAATAGCATTTTCCAGTTCATTATGTATTTTCACATTTGAAAATGAGTGGAGATTAATTCATTCTTGAAGTTCAATATTAATTTATGTTTATTGTATTAATGCAACCATTATATATAAACAGACCTGAGGGAACCAAAAATTAATTATTTCCTTCTTATTCAAAGAGACTCAAACACCACTAATAAAAAGACTACAGAAGAAACACTACTTTCCACATGCCACTACATTTGTCAAGTTACATACTAACTGTTTGAAAAAATGCAGCCATGTGGGTTTTCTCACTAATTTATATTTTAAAAATTCAGTTAGCATTGGGAAATTTTCAGATGCACTAGAGAGTGATCTAATTTAGCATGTTTATTTCCCTGGTATTTATAAACAGAGCTAAAACCATTGAATACCAACCTTGCCTATTATTGTATTTGCAGTTGCCATCCATTCATTGTTATTAAATAACTAGCAAATAGAAAACTTTCCACACAAAAATAAAGCACTGGAAATTTAATTGTCCAAAGCTTGATACCTAAGCATGATACCTAAATAAGGTGACAGTATTTTAATTTCTTATTGCTTATTATGAAAATGGATACATAGAGAAGGAAGAAAATCTTACCAGTAGTTACTGTCAAGTCACTAGATAAATTTTACTATATACCAGACTAGAAAAAATCCAGGTGCCTTATTCTCTAGAATATCTAAGGGTTTTCTGCAATTTAAAAATAAAACAGAGTGAAGCAAGAGAGGGGTGGTAATAGGCTAGAGTGTTAATGAATTAAAGAGAATGCATCCAATGAAGTAAATGGAGAGAGAAGTAAATTATAGGTCAGGATGTGGAATCAGAAACATTTTTATACACAAACATTTTTACTAAACAGGCAACTATTTAGCTGCATATCTCATTATGTAAGTAAAAACAACAAAAATACATACCATTATTAAAGATATACTCCTCTCCAAATTGGTATACAGTGGTGCCCCGCAAGACGAACGCCTCGCAAGACGGAAAACCCGCTAGACGAAAGGGTTTTCCGTTTTGGAGGCGCTTCGCAAAACGAATTTCCCTATGGGCTTGCTTCGCAAGACGAAAGCCCATAGGGAAATCTCCGGGACAGCGGGGAAGCGCAGCGCGTCTTCCCCACTGTCCTCGGACCTCCTCCGAAACCTGGCGGGGGGCGGAGAGACCTCCTCCCGCCGCCAGGCTTCGGAAGGCGGCTCCGAAGCCTGGCGGGGGGGCGGAGAGGTTTTTTTAAAAACCCCGGGACAGCGGAGGACTTCTCCGCTGTCCGGGGTGATTTTAAAATGCTGGCGGGCGGCAGCGAAGGCTTCGCTGCTGCCTGCCAGCATTTTAAAATCGCCCCGGACAGCAGAGAAGTCCCCCACTGTCCCGAGGTTTTTTAAAATGCTGGCATCTTCCCCGCTGTCCCCGGACCTCTTTTGAAGCAAGGGGCGGCAACGCGGAGAAGCGATCTTCTCCCCTCCGCCCCTTGCTTCAAAAGAGGGGACAGAGGGGAAGGCGCGCGTCTTCCCCTCTGCCCCTCGGAGATTGCGGGGCAGGCAACGGGGAGAAGCAATCTTCTCCCCGCTGCCCCTTGCTTTAAAACAGGTCCGGGGACAGAGGGGAAGGCATGCGTCTTGCCCTTTCTCCCCGGACCCCTTTTGAAGCAAGGGGCGGCAAGGCGGAGAAGCGATCTTCTCCCCTCCGCCCCTTGCTTCAAAAGAGGGGACAGAGGGGAAGGCGCGCGTCTTCCCCTCTGCCCCTCGGAGATTGCGGGGCAGGCAACGGGGAGAAGCAATCTTCTCCCCGCTGCCCCTTGCTTTAAAACAGGTCCGGGGACAGAGGGGAAGGCATGCGTCTTCCCCTTTCTCCCCGGACCCCTTTTGAAGCAAGGGGCGGCAACGCGGAGAAGCGATCTTCTCCCCTCCGCCCCTTGCTTCAAAAGAGGGGACAGAGGGAAGGCGCGCGCGTCTTCCCCTTTCTCCCCGGACCCCTTTTGAAGCAAGGGGCGGCAAGGCGGAGAAGCGATCTTCTCCCCTCCGCCCCTTGCTTCAAAAGAGGGGACAGAGGGGAAGGCGCGCGCGTCTTCCCCTTTCTCCCCGGACCCCTTTTGAAGCAAGGGGCGGCAAGGCGGAGAAGCGATCTTCTCCCCTCCGCCCCTTGCTTCAAAACAGGTCCGGGAACACCTCCCGCCGCCGCCCGGCTTCGGAAGGCTCCTCCGAAGCCGGGCGGCGGGGCAGGAACACCTTCTGAAGGCTGGCGGGGGGCAAAAGTCTTTGTCCCCCCTGCCTGCCTTCCCAGGGGCTTTTAAATCGCCCCGGACAGCGGAGAAGTCCTCCGCTGTCCCGGGGCGATTTTAAAATGCCGCCCGCCAGCATTTTAAGATCTCCCCGGACAGCGGAGAAGTCCTCCGCTGTCCCGGGGTTTTTTAAAATGCTGGGGGTGGGAAGAAAAGCCCTTGTCCCCCCCCCCCCAGCCTTCAGAAGAGGTCCGGGGACAGACTGTCCCCGGACCTGGTCTGAAGGCGGTTTCCCTAGGAACGCATTAATTGATTTTCAATGCATTCCTATCGGAAACCGTGCATCGCAAGACGAAAAACTCGCAAGACGAAGAGACTTGCGGAACGATTTAATTTCGTCTTGCGAGGCACCACTGTACATTGGAAAAGATGGAAGATACAACTAATCTCTATTATCAAGAATGCTTACAGCATCATCAAGTCAAATGTGTAATAAAGTATGCTGTTTACATTATAAGCAGAGAGTACATTTGCACTGTCAACTCATCACTAATCCCAAATATAAAGAAAAGAACTTCAAGTATTTAGGAATCTTCTAAAATACTGAAATGTTGTGCCTATATTTTGCTTGCTGACATGATTTATTTATTTTAAGCTTTCTATATGTCACTAACATTAATATCCAAAGTCACTCATAATCTTACTGGGCATGCCATTTATCTCAGTCTGTTTTCCACATATATAATGGAAATTAGTGGCCTATCTTTGTTTCTACCAAGTATGACAAAGGTGGAGGAGTGATTTGCATGTTTACTCGAATTCAAAGTAAATCCTGACACTTACCCTCAAGAAAATGTGCATAGGATTGTCGCTGTAACCTATCAAGATACTTTTTCTACCACCTTCTGCCAATTCTCTATTCAGCCCTTAAACTGGAATTCAGTAGCTGAATACCTACATGGCACCACCTCTCTTCCTTCAAATGCCTTTTCAAAACCTGCTTTGGCATAAATGACAGCTTTCCAACTACAGTGGTACCTTGGTTCTCAAACTTAACCCGTCCCATGAGTCCGTTCAACTCCTGAAACTGTTTGAAAACCAAGGGACAGCTTCCGATTGGCTGCAGGAGCTTCTTCAACTCAAAAGCCACGTCAGATGTTTGGCTTTTGAAAAACGTTTGCAAACCAGAACATTTACTTCTGGGTTTGCGGCGTTCAGGAGCCGATCTGTTCGACAAAGAAGCCGTTCAGGAACCAAGAAACCATTGTAGTACTCATAATAAAATGTCCCTATTTCCTCCTTCAGTTAAAAAAAATAAATCTATTTGCGGTTATCAAAAAGGTTTACAAGTTGAGTAAGATAATATACCATCTATAAAACACCACATTCAACCAAATAAAAGAGCAGCACGTTAATACACACACATAACATGGTTTTTGAAAAACAATTTTCTCCTGAAGTCTCCCATATAAAACTTACAGTATTTTTCGCTCTATAAGACACACTTTTTCCCTCCTAAAAAGTAAGGGTAAATGTGTGTGCGTCTTATGGGGCGAATGCAAGCTGAACAGCTATCCCAGAAGCCAGAACAACAAGAGGGATCGCTGCGCAGCGCTCCCTCTTGCTGTTCTAGCTTCTGGGATAGCCCCTCAGTCCCTTCCCCCACCTCCTGGAAAAGCCCCCAAGAGCGGCGCGCAGCGTGTATGCGGCTCTTGGGGGCTTTTCCCCGAGGAGAGAGAAGGGCAGCCCGTCAGTGACGAGTTGCCCTTCTCCCTCCTCAGGGAAAAGCCTGCAAGCGCCACACACACGCTCCACACGGCTCTTTAAAGGGAGCGCTGAGCAGAGCCTGGGATGCATACAGGCTCTGCTCAGTGCTCCCTTTAAATAATTCCCCCCCCTACATTCCCCTCTAAAAACTAGGTGTGTCTTATAGTCAGGTGTGTCTTATGGAGCGAAAAGTATGGTATCATGTTCTGAGGTCAACATTTATGACCCTGCACTCTGTTCTGCAACCATTAAATGTTCCGCGATCAGTACAAAATGTTTGGCAAGTGTTCTTCTTCAGCAGTCTAAAGAACAACCTCTTGGGAAGAACAGTCTAGCATTATAACTGGCTCATTTCCACAGGGCCATCAAGAGTCATCTATTTAGAGTGTCTGTTTAGACAAACTACAAACAGTAGAAAATGTTTGTCCTTGGCTTACCCACATCATTTGTTTGCCGGGGGCAGGGGAAGTAAGTCACAAGTCCAGGTTTGCACAAAAATGACAAACCAAGCGCTTCAGTTTGCTGCTCTCAGTACACAAAAGGGAAGGAGCAAAGTGGGGACTTTCAGTGGATAGTGCTAATTCATGTTAAACTATAGTTAACCATTAAATATGGGTTAACATTACATGCAGACCAGGCTACTGAGGCTGTGCTATAAAATTCAGTCATATGTAATTTGGTACATAGTTTTACAATGAAGAATGTTAAAAGCCCGTACTTTTTCAGCATCAGATTCTGCTCCACTCTCCTCCCAACTTTAGCTAGGTATTGGTCTCCTCCCAATTTAACTAGTCTCAGAAAACACCTGCTGCCCCATCACCATATTGCATAAGTATCACATGCTACTGCAACAATTCTTCCATTCAAAGAAGTAACAGTCCATCACCATGAAGTAATTGCGCATCTCTATCCATCTCTCAAATACAAGTCTGACAAACAGACTGCAATCTCAGAACACCATACTTTAGACATGATCTTATCTATTTATAAATATGTGGAAATTTTTCAGATTCATTGACCTACTTACTTCACTAAGCAGATATACATGTTTACATACACTACTGAGGACAGATGAGTCATGGACTATTAGGGTTGGGAGTGCCTTGAAAGATAAAAGCATTGTCTAATACATCTTTCATGCCCTTAAGCAACAGAATAATTTACTGTGCAATTTTACTTTTGACACTACTTGGAAGCAACTCTTATCCTTACTCCTCTGGGGATCAAAAAAGATAAAATTAGGCAGACTGACAGAACAGTTCTAAACCCTGATTCTTGCTATTGGTGGGGGTTGTTATGATGGAGGTGACATCATAATAACTCCTCTGTCAATTTCTGCTGTCCTCTGCCCTAGCAGGGGGGTAAAAGACACCACTGCAGAAGCCCCCAGTGTGCAGGAAGCTACTACCAGTGGTTCTCCCACTGATGGTAGCCTGAGGAAAGCCTCAAAATGTGGTGTTTTGGTGGGGGGCACCAGTGGCATTGGATCCTTGGGGGCCCTCAACTGCAGCAGCCTGGAGCTGGCATAGCACAATGTAAAATAAACCCAGTCCCCACTTTCTGCCATGGTTGGTGCAAGTGATGCATGGGCTTCAGATGCACAGGTCAATCTCCTACTTCACCACGCACCTTCCTAGCTGGGGATCAGGATTGCTCTGTAAAGCGTAAAGTGGAACCTCATTTGTAAGAATTCATGCAGTTATATTTTAAGAAGTACAGTGGTACCTCAGGTTACAGATACCTCGGGTTAAGAATTTTGCTTCAGGATGAGAACAGAAATCGCATGACAGCAGCGGGAGGCCCCATTAGCTAAAGGTTAAGAACAGTTTCAGGTTAAGAACGGACCTCCAGAACGAATTAAGTTCTTAACCCGAGGTACCACTGTAATCCAAAAACACAAAGTATGAGCCCATCAAACTCATGTTTCATACAGGAATCCTCATCAGTGATCTGCATTAGATTGGTGGTTTCTACACTCCATTCAATGTGTCAAACAGCCCTTAGAAAAGATCCAAATCATCAAGATAATCACGTTCGGATGATACAAAGTTTTAAAATAGGCAGTTAAAAACCATCACTCTCTTCAAGCAAAACATCTCTCAGCCAAGTTACAAATGACTAATTTCCGCAGAGTCTGCTGGCTGAATTCAAGACACAGAGGCAATTCTGCTATTAACCCCATTAATTGCGACAAGTCACAAAACCCAGATTCTTAAAGCAGTGGGATGCTGGGAATTTAACGACACGTTTTGTGTGTTTGCATTTCCAGTGCTCTGTATTTCGATCGGTTCCTGTTATCTGCTCTGGGCACAAGCTCAGGAGACAAGTCAAGCCCATCGGTCCATCCAAGCCCCTTCCCACGCGGGGGAAGGGGAGACGAGGGGGGAAGGGGGGGCGGCGGGAGGCAAGAGGCCGAGCGACACCGGGGGAGGTTAAACATGGGGCGGGGTCGTTGGGTCCCCTGGCGACAGGAAAGAGGAAGGGAAACCGAAACAGGGAGAAGGGACGTGACCCGTGAAATTTAACTTCGGTAACGCGGGGGGGGGGGGAGGTGAGGAAAGGTCACTAAAGCGACCGCGAAGGCCGGGCGGGGCGAAGGGACCTTCTCGCCGGCGCCTGGAGGCGGTGAGGGGGGCTCCGGCGTCGCGCAGGACGCGGGGCTGAGGGCTCCTTACCGGGACGCGCCGCCGCTCTCGCTCCTGGCCGTGGTGGGGAGGGAGGCTGAGGCTGGCGGAGGAAGCCCCGCCTCGGGCGGCTCCTCCCGCCCCGCCCCGGCCGCTCCAGAGGGCGGGCAGAGGCGAGGCGACGAGCGGCCGCCTCCCTTAGCAACGGCAAAGCGGGCCTGGATTCGGAGGCGGAGAGGGGCAGGTGCGCGCGCAGCGGCGAATTTACCTCAGCCCCAGCAGCCGAGGGGAGTGGGCGGGGCTCGCGCCTCTGTTCCGCCCTGCGAGCCAGGGGGCGGGGCCTTGGCGGAGCAGGTGCGGCCAACGGTCGCTCTCAGCGGATGGGTGGGAGACGGTTGGTTGGTAGCAGCCGGGGGTGGGCGGGGCCTACAAAGGGCCTCTGTGACGCAGGCGGCGCCTGTCTTCGGAAAAACGCAGCCTCAGGGCGGGGCCGCCTGAGGGCTCCGAATGTTGACAGACTCCCAGCATGCCCTCCGCGTGGACTTTGCCGGCGGGGGCTGATGGGAGTTGGAGTCCCTACAGCATCTGAAGGCCGCAGGCTTTCTCCACCAGCACTTTTGGCATCATCGACCGTGTCTATATTGGATGGTCAAGTGGTTGCCCTGTCATCTATTTTTGAATTTGTATACCGCCCTTCATAGGAGGATCTCAGGGCTCACGGCATAAAAGTACATAATAAAAAATGCAGAACAGGAACAGAAACGAAACCCCTAACTGATAGCCAATGCTGCAGAAGACAGAATCAGGATTCAACATGACCTTAACAGATTGGAGAACTTGGCCCAAACTAATACAGTAGAATGAAATTCATTTTTCCCCAATTTTTTTATTAATTTTCCAACATTTTTTAGACAAACAAGCAAACATATATCTTAACTGTACTTAATTCAATCTTAGTAACATTGTTAAGTGACTTCCTCGGATCCCCCTGGCTGAGTTTCAGTGTATATCATTGTAACAGTTTTCCAAAACCAATTTTCTCATAAAATTAACTTAATCACTTAACACCTTTCTTTCTTTCCATTTTAACTTTAAACATATTATTCTCTAACATTACATATTTAAATCCTAAGCCCATCTGGTATTTGCAAGTTTTTCCAATTAGGTTATCTTAACATATTTAACTAAATAGTCTTTGGATTTTATCCATTCCTCCTGGTACTCCTCCTCCTTCTGGTCGCGGATTCTTCCAGTCAGGTCAGCTAGCTCCGAAAAGTCCATCATCTTCATCTGCCATTCCTCAGTAGAATGAAATTCAGTGGGGACAAGGTTCTGCGCTTAGGCAAGGGGAACCACCTGCACAAATATAAGATGGTTTGCCAATAGCACATGTGAAAAGAATCTGGGGGTCTTTGTGGACCACAACTTAACATGTGGTCAGACCACACCTGGAATACTTTGGGCGCCACAATTTAAGGATATTGACAAGCTGGAAGGTGTGCAAAGGAAGGCAGGGAGGAGTTCTGAGCACCCTTCTAACGAGCTAGTTTTCATAATTTCATAACTATAATCAGTCAAAAAATACAGCACGTAAAGCTGTGTGAACTAGGTCTATTAAACACCAATGAATGACCCTTTTGGTTAATTTTCATTTTTCCAATTATGCATTGGGTGTAAGGGATATCCATTTTTCCTCTTGTAGGTGGGCACAATTGTTATTTTCTAATCATATTTTTTATCATGATTACAGGCACCAAAAGGTTCATATGTATACACAATACAATATTTACATGTAAGTTTGTTTTAAGGAAAAACTACAATTCAAAAAGCATCAAGCATTGGGGAACACCTTTTTTCTGGGTTTTAAGTAGGCATAGGCTATAGGGAAGAATTTTTTAATCCAAACAGAATATATTTGGGCAGTAAGGAAATTTGTTTTGTTAAGCATGACTATTAGGGAAAAAACCTATAAAATTATGAGGAGGTCATATATTGATATCTATATAGTTTTAACTATTTTAAGTTAAAGAACTTGAGATTTCTGTCATCTGTAGTGGACTTGCCTTCTCACAAAAGAAAGGAAGAAAATAAGCAGATAATGAAAATATGGAATATCTAATAATAACTCAGTATTTTTTTCATTAACATTCACAACGGATGCAATTAAAAAAGAACATGCAGAACTGGCACACTATATGTGGTAACAGCTGCCCATTTATCAAATGCCAAATACTGGAAACAATAGCAAGTACCAAAGTTAATGAATTGGTTATTATAGGATTATGTGGTAGTAGCAAAATTTACAAAAAAGACTAAGATAAATGTCAGAAATTAGACCTCTTTGTCTAATTATATTGGGGAAAACAAGTAGCTTAGGTAGAGGACATTTAATTTATTCCTTAAAAAGAAGTCATTTGGGTGGCAGGAAGACTGGGATACTCTTTCTGTAAAAGACACTGCTTTATATATATATAAAAGAGAGGCAGTGGGGAGATCAAAATGTTGCCTAAGAACACACACTTTCTCAGAAACATTGCATTTTGGAATTTTCAAATGTGGATATATTGAAATTTAAATATTTTATTGTCACTTGTACAGCTTGTATACAGTGAGATTACATGAGCACCCTTCACTCATCTCTCTTAGTCTTAATTCCCCTCGTTTACTGACGCACACCCACCAAACCCGAAAGTCAGTTGCCCTGTTGTTATCTTTTCATTCAGCAGCCTAACAGCCCACGGATAGAAGCTGTTCTTTACCCTGTGGGTGCGACTAATCATGCTTCTATACCTTCTGCCCGAGGGCAGGAGATCAAGAAAGTGCCGGCCAGGGTGTGAATCATCCCTGAGAATTTTCCTTACTTTCCTGAGGCAACGTTCTTCCGCAATGTCATCCGGCGGATTCACAGGACAGCCCATAATACCTTGTGCTGTATTCACCACCCTCTGTAGGCACTTCCTATCCATTGATGTCAAACCAGCGTACCACACCGTGATGCAGTGTGAAAGGACACTTTCTATTGTGGACCGGTAGAAGGAGATAATCAAATGTTGATTGACATCGTTCTTTCTCAATACTCTGAGGAGATGGAGTCCCTGTTGGGCTTTTTTAACCACCTGGGTTGTATTTATTTTCCAAGTAAATATATATATATATATATATATATATATATATATATATATATGCAGGTTTTGGTGTCCTCGGGTGTCTTCCCGTGTAAAAGTTGGGGTGTCTAGGCGACGTTTCGACGAGGTCTCACTCGTCATCTTCAGGCTGGTGCTTTCGGCTTCTTGTTACTGGAACAGAGCAGGATCTCAGTGTTTGAGTTCCTATAAATACTGTTGAGGGGGTGTGGTGTATAGCCTCCAATGTTCTGGGCAGAGAGGAAGTTCCCAGGCTAGTGTGCCTTTTCTTCTTTTGTTCCTTAATTACTTGAGGGATATCTTGAGTGATTTCTTGAGTGATATTCTGAGTACCACTTAGGTGGGTCATTAGGTGTGGATTAGTTGCTAAAGCCTTCGTGTCTTGACCTCTTGAACTTTGTGAAGAGTTTTTCTGAGAAGATGGCTGTACTGCACTTAGTTGTGCTCTGGCTTGGCTTCGGGTATAGGGGCGAGCTGTGGTTTTGTGCCCTGTGCCAGCCAGATCTGTGTAGGGATTGCAGGGGGGTGCAGCATCCGGAGGTGCCACCATGGTTTGGCTACTGGATGGTGTCTGTAATTTATCTGTGGAGAGGGTCTGGGTTTGGGTCTGGTGTGGTTGATTGGTGATGGCGTTCTGTGTGCCTCTGGATCTGGTGTCGGTTTTTGTGGGGAGGGCTAATTTCCAGATGTCTGGCAGGCGGGACGTGTCGTCACGCTTGTTCATGTTGTGAGGGTGTTTCTCTATCTCGATGGCTTCCATGATTATTCTCTTGTGGTGATGTTCCATGTTAAAGAGCAATTTGGAATCTGCAAAATTAATTTCGTGTCCTGTTTCTTTCATGTGTTGGAAAAGAGAGGAAGTTTTTTCTTCTTTTTTGACGGCATTCTTGTGTTCTGCGATACGTGCATTTATTCGTCTGTTTGTTTGTCCAATGTACGTGGCTGGGCAGACTTTGCAGGGTATTTCATAGACCCCTTGGTTTTCCAACTGGATTTTATCTTTGGGGTTTCTGAGGATATTGGCTATTTTTTGGTTGGTGCAAAAGGCTGTTTTGATATTGTGTTTATGGAGGATTTTGCTAATTTTATCTGTAGTGCCCTTGATATAAGGAAGGAGGGCCATGCCATTGTTTTCTTCTGTGTCTTGGTTTTTGGGGGGTGTTTCTTTTTGGATTAGCTTCGTAACCCTGTTTTGCTGGTATCCATTGGCGATTAACACATTTGAGAGATTCTGTAACTCAGTTGTCAAGTGGTCCTTTGTCAGCCAGGCGTTTGGTTCTGGAGATGAGAGTCTTGGCTACGGAGTTTATTTGTGCAGGGTGGTGGTGTGATTGTGCATGTAAGTAGCGGTTGGTGTGTGTTTTTTTCCGGTAGATAGTGTGTCCTAGGGAGCCATCAGGTTTTTTGTAGATTAGGACGTCAAGGAAGGGAAGTTGGTTGTTGGCTTCTATTTCCATAGTGAATTGTATTTTGGGGTGTAGGCTGTTGAGATGTGTGAGGAAGCTATCTAGTTTTTCCTTCCCGTGTGGCCAAATTACAAAGGTGTCGTCAACATATCTGAGCCAAAGTTTGGGTTTGTGTTCTGACTTGTCTAAAGCATTGGTTTCAAAGTGTTCCATGTACAGATTTGCGATGACCGGTGAGAGGGGTGATCCCATAGGTGCTCCTTCTATCTGTTTGTATCTTTGTCCATTGTGGATGAAGTACGTGTTGGTTAGGCAGTGGTTGGTCAGGTCCAGGATGTATTCGGGGGGATTGTATTTGTTTTGAATGGCTGTCAAGGCTTCATTAATGGGCACTTGTGTGAAGAGAGATACAACATCGAAGCTCACAAGTAGGTCATCGGGATGTAGGTTTTGCTTCTTTATTGTTTCTATGAACTGGAAGGAGTTTGTAACGTGTGAAGAGATGGATTCTGCATAGGGCTGAAGTTGCTTAGCGAGAAATTTAGCGAGATTTTGTAGAGGTGAGCCTATGGAGCTGACTATTGGTCTGAGTGGTGTTCCTTCTTTGTGTATCTTGGGGAGGCCGTAGAGTTTGGGGCATCTGGATGATTTTTCTCTGGGGATGATTCTTATCTCTCTTCACACAAGTGCCCATTAATGAAGCCTT